GCAGCCCTTCCCTTGCTTCTGTGCCTTTTCTCATAAGCCCTGCTGCCCCCTGGAGCGGTGGGAGCACCATGCGGTGCCCAGCCACGTTCCCAGAGCCGCGCTGGCTCCTGCAACGACCTCCCAAAGGAGGTTGCAGCACATTAGGGCAAGAGGAGGGGTCCAGAGGGCACAGCATGGCATTCAGGGCACTGTATCTTGCCAGCTGCAAGTCGGCACAGCTCCCATGAAGTCAAACCGTGGAGTTGCACCACCTGGGCTTGCCACCCACCCTTAATCGTAGCACAGGTTGGATGAAATAACACACAGACATGGGGAAAATGGCAATAGTGGTTTTTTCCCCCAACCCGTCAGCTGGCTGCCTTTGAAAATCAAAGGCTGGAGAGATTTCTTTCGTCGGGAACACATGCCAAGCAATCGTGCTCCATTGTTGCCGGCAGATTTGTTTTTGCACACTTCAGACAGGAAGAATGGCACTCTCGGGGCGAAGAAGCTGGCACAGCGCGAGTGAGGTGGGAAGAGGGGGAAGAGCCAGCAAGTGGCAGCGAAATCGGCGGCGGCTTCGCGACGTTCCCTAGCAACCCGCGCCCCGGAGAGCCGCTTGCAATGTCTCCTCTTTATCGGCGCAGCTGCATGTGATGTACTAGCCTCGCCGTGGTCTGGCTCGCGCTATTTTGGGTTTAAAAACCGAAGCGTGTGATTGCAGCACTGTCGTGGGCATAAGGACTTTGGATTGCTCTCTTGCACAGATGGGAGCAATTCACGAGGAGGGTTGGGAAAGTGACTTTCTGTTCTTGCTTGAAAGTTGTCTGGTACCAGCTAGTAAATACTGTCTTGTGGCTTGAAGACTTCGCGATGAGTAGTTTAGATAGCTCCCCTACCATTTGTTTACCCCATAAGGTGGTATTGCAGGGAGGGCTTGCATGGATGTTTCTGGAGTAACTTCTTTCCTTCCATCCACTGCAGACACACGTGGGTCTTCCTACAACAGACACGTGGAGCATTTTGCTGTCTGGGGCACCTACGCTGATTTTCTGAATGCTTCCTCGCCTGCCGTTTCCCTGCTCCTGGCCAGACTCACTGCATCCTGTCTAGTTAATGGGGATTCAGCACTGACTTGCTGGAGGAGCATTCCTGTGGACCAGGACAAAAGAAGCCCTCTATTGGTCTAACACAAATATTTACAGCCCATACATTGTGCATTCTGAATGTGAGCTGCCTCATGCTCCTGAAGTCTCAGCTTAGAGATACAGCATCTTGGAGATGGTAAAAGAAGGGCAGTCACTGTGCTTGTTTAGGACCCAGCTGCTTTGTCATACCATTTCTGAACAAAGTTTCTTTGATTTAGCATCTGGAACAAAACCATAAAGTAACTTAATACTGCACATGAGCTTCCTTTCCTGTAAGCAGCTTCAGCCCTGTAGATGATCCATAGGGCCTTGAGCTGGCTTTGCTCCACTCTGTTGCAGAATATGTCACAATTGCTATCGCAGTCACAGAAGCATAAACAGTAAGGCTGGAACAGGCTTGAAGATCTGTCTGCTGCTCAGAGACAGGATCAACTCTGCGTAAGCCATTCTTCACAAATATTTGTTTGTTCCTACTCTGGAAAGCCACAGTGATGGAAATCACAGACTCTCCCCAGGCAATCTCTTCCAGCACTTTGCTGGCCTCACTGATTCTCCTCCACGTGTCAAACCCTCTAAAGTGTGTGAGTGATGTCTCCTTCACAGGGAGGGGGCCTGAAACCCCTACTTAATAGTGTAAAACTATTTTTCTATAGCTCTCCATGCTCCCTTCCTGCAGAGGGGCAGGAAGGGAGCATGGAGAGCAGAATACATAGTTTTGAGGGAAAGAAGAGGAAGGAGTCTGCAAAGTGATGTTCACAACTTTTTTTCTAGGTATGCTTTTGAAATTTGCTTGGCTCTTGGGAGCAAGGGTAGGTGAGAAAGGAGATGGAGGAGGCATGGTTGCTCTGCAGTCCTCTCCAAGAGGGAACCAGCTCCTCAAAAGGAGCAAGGAGAGAGGAGGCCCTGAAAAGCAGGTTAGTCTGAGCTGGGAGGTGGTAGCAGGAGTCCATGAAAGCCAGACTGAGAGGGGCCCCATAGTTGGGGACAAGGACTTTCACTAAGTAAGTCCTAGAGTATCACCTGCAAGGAAGCGGGATTTAATCACCCATATCCCCAGAGACTGGAGTCTTTGCAGTGATTGCTCTTGGTCTGGGAGCCATTTTTCTCCCTGTCTTGTATGTTCCTGTGAAAGGCAGATGCAGCTGAGGGCTCAGGGGGCTGCAGTTAGTCTGACCCAGGCTTGGACAGCCGTGTTGACTCAAATAGTGCCTCTCGACCAGCCGATGTACACCTGAGTACATTGCTCACTTTGGCACGCTGAGCTAGATTCTGCGCTGCTGTGTAAATCAGCGAGTTCCCTGGAGCGACTCTGATCTGCACCATCTGAATGTCTAGCCCGTCCTTTTCAAGTAAATTCTGCAAGCAGAATTATATATATATCTCTTTGTTTTTCCCCTTCAGCCTTTGCTCAGTCAACCTGCAAGCTGCTTAATCATAAAAACAGAAGGGAGCTGCTGCTGTTGTTGTGGTTGGACAGGACATGAAAATGTTTCACAGACAAAGTGATCTTTTTAATACATCAAAGTGGTCCAGGCGCAATGTTGTATCCTGCCACAGCCCTCGGCCTCCTCTGCTCTAATTGCACACGCCACTGCCTCTTTTGGTTCCCTCCATTCTTCATGAAGTACTGCTTGACCAATTAGCGAGATAAGTTCGTCTCTAGCCCAGGAGGTATGTGGACAGCCTTCTTAGCTGCATCTCTGTGCATGGAGGAATGTTTTGACAGCTAAACATGGATCTTGTTGAGCTGTCAGTTCTGCTAACTCTCCCAAGTGTCTCTTATTTATTGAGCCATCAGCATCTTCCTGACCTCCTCAAAGTCAGGCCCAGCCTCACACGAAAGATGGCACAGAAATACAACTTGAGCATGGCCTTCTGAGCAAGGCAAGTTTCTTCAAGCATTTGATGCCTTGAACAGAGCAGATCATTAGGTCTGTATGTCAGTGCAGCGGCTGCGCCCTCAGGCTGGCAGCAGCCTTGGAGGCTGCAGCTGGGGAAATTCAGATTCCCTTCCTTAGTGCACAGCCTGGTTTGGCTGCCAAGATCTTGGGGCTTTTTAAGAGGCTGATGGCAAAGCAGAGGATGAAGGAAAGCAGTAAAATGGCTCTGAATCCAGGGAACCCCGTATCCCCTTCTGGCTCCAGCACCGAGCAGGGAATTTCTTCTCCTTGCTTTTTATTCCTAACCTGATCTGGCTTGGAGACCATAGGTACTTCTGCAGCGCACAGCACAATCCCCACAGCACAAGCACCTATGCACTTACCATCTGGAGCGTCATGACCACAAAGTAGTTTTCCATGTGGCTGGAAAGTGTGTCTGTGACAGACGAGGGATCACACACTAGATGCAGCAGGGGAAGCAGGGGGGGGAGCATGTGACATTTGAACCCCATATAACCCTTCCATGTGGGAATGAAGTGAGACTGAGGGTGTAGTGCTCTGCTCTGGGTGCCCGCCATTCCTGATGCCCCAGCAAAAACTTACACACACGTCTCCAGAAGCATCAAACCAACCCCGTAGTCTGAAACCAGTGGGTTTTGGTTAGCATTGGGTAATTCTTGTACAAGGGAGCTGATTCAGTAAAATGAGCTGATGCTGATACACCTCATTTGCTCTTTCTTTCCTGCTTACTCCCTGCTCTGAGGATGCTGTTAGTCCATCCTTCCATTTCATCCAGCTCCTTTGCACATTAGTCTTCCCTAAGTCCTTCATGCCGTGGGTGTACTTAGCCCTCTCTCTGTGGGCTCTTGCCAGCTCTGGAAGCTCCTAGCTGCTTTGCACTTTCTTTTCCTTCCTCTCTGCCTTATCCCATCCTCTCCTCTGTCTTCCGTCTTCCCCTCTTCCTGCCAGCACTTCTGTCTTGCCTTTGTAGTTCTGTCTTTTTCAGTTGTTCTACTTGCGCTGGAAAAGGCTAATTTGCTCTTTCCCCATGTTGCTAGAGCCCTCATTCTAGCTCTGACCTTGATGTCTCTGTTCCCATGACTCTTCTCCTCCAAGGGCTATCTCCTGCCCTCTCCGCAAGCAGGGTGTGAGTAACATCCACAACTGCTGTGAGTAGCACAGCCAACTTGGATCTTCGCTCCTGTTTCAGCAGGTTGTAAGGAGAAGGTTGAGACCCTTTGAATATCGAAGAGCCGCAGTGAAACTTCTGCAGCACTTTTTGTTAGCCCATAACCCCTGCTGCTTTGCCTCCCTGCCGCGATTTGGCCACCAGGTGGGACGTGCTGGGTCCTCAGCCTGTGGTTCTCTCTGAGGGAAAATCAGTCCTCGGCTCTTCCTGCCCTTTTCTCAGCTCCCACCTCTTTCTCACTGTGGGAAATTCCTGAGCAGGAACAGTGTTTCAAGGGAGACTTGGAGCTTTTATCTGAGTAATACTTAACTGCCCTGGACTGTATTACAGGAGAATTATGACTTTGTTGAGAAATTTCTACTGCTGTGAGCCAAATGAGAGATCATTTTCATAAGTACATTGGGTGAAATAAATGATAATCTAGATGACGGGCGTTTGCCCTGGCCTTTTTCCCCCAAGTGCAGTATAGAATTTGGCACTACTTTGTTCCGAAAATATTATTTCTGATTATTCTTGGGTAATTGATAGTGAAACATGTACAAATCTCTTCTAAATCAGTAGTGCTCAGGCTATCAAGATGACGTTCACTGGGGGCTGCAGCCCTTCACTCTCTCCTCCTTCTTTTCTTACATATTACTCCCTCTGCTCCTGAAAGCACTGTTTGATTTCACCGCCTTTTTCCTTACTGCCAACGTGTCATCCTCTGCCTGACAGTGCTCAGCATCACAGTGGCACTTGCAAGTACAGCTAATGGCCTTGTGGATGCAGGCTGCACCACGAACTCGCTGTCGAATACTTTCCCAGACTCTAATGCGGGCAAGTAGCATTAGGTTTGCAAGCAAACTGCCCGCTTTTGGTGGATACCTCTATTTCACAAAAAGTGTGAGAGGTGTTTAAATTTTTAATCACCAGTCATTATGATCAACTCCAGTCTGGTAATTTTGTGAAGAGGCCATTCTCCTAGCTTGGGCTGGAGGTAACAGAGGGGCCAGGGCCTGCTGATCGAAGTGGTACGTGTAAGCTGCTAGGACCCTCAACGCTGACGGTCCGGGCTATTGCTCCTCATGAATTAAATAACACATCTTTGCAAATGGTACTTGACACGATGTTAGATGGCTAAGCTGGGATTCAGGCAACCTAGAGATACCTGCAGAGGGCTCTTCATGAGGAGAATTAATTGTTTGAAATGTGGTAAAGCTTCAGTCTCTTAAAGGTGTATAAACCAATTCATCAACAAAACCATCCACATAGATGTTATAAAATATAGAGATGCTCTGACTGAGGCAGAAATTAGAGGATGAATTCTGATCCTCGCTGTCTTGAGCTGTGTCAGTAGCCTTTTAATACTCTTCTACAGTCTTTCACCACAAGTCCTTGAGGTGCAAGCAAATGAGCTCTCCCTCTGACTTTAAAGAATAGCAATCTTCTCATTATTATTTGCAAATTCTCTTTTCTCTCGCATCAGTAGAAGTGGTGTCATTTTGAATATTTTTTTTGTCCTCCTTGAAGCACGCCTCAGCTGAGGGGCAAGCACAGTCGATGGCGTGGGCAGAATCCAGATGTCTGGACTCTTGTTGAGTTTCTACCTCCTTTCCCCTGACTCAGTCACCTAAGAGACTGAAAGTCAAATGAAGGATCGTACTCAGCACTTACACTCTCTGACGTGTGCGGAGGTCCCCATCCGCTTTCCAAAGGAACTTGTACTCATTTTGTTAAAAGGGGTTGGGACCCTTCAGTAAGTACTTCAAGAAACACGGCCTGTGCAAAGCTGAAAGAAAAACAGTAAAGCTCTTAGAGTCAAAGCAGCTACACAGGGAGAAAACAGAGCAAGTAATTCTGGGATCAGAACATGAGAAAAATGGAGAAATCTTCCTGTCCTGAGATAT